AAATGAGGAAATGGCACGCGATCACGGAATAAAAACGTTCCAAACATAAATTTCCGGCTTTTTCGTATGCCTCGCAGCAAACGTTGGGCTTTCCCCCTGTACATTTTAAGTTTTGTACGCTTCAGATTTCCTGCTTAATCTGGTGTTGTCTAAACATGGGATGAAATGGGATGTAAGGGCTTTAATTTGCGACCGAATGGTAAATTATTTGGTTCCGTTTTGAAAGTCTCCGACACTCTAAAAAGTTCAGCCACAATCTCCGGGGCCTTTCAAATGGCTCACTTGCCACTTCAAAGGGCCTGCTTCCCATTAATTATGTGAGAACATTAAATGCAGACCAAAGATTTGTGAAACATCGCCACGGTCGGTGGAAATTCAAGGAGTACGGTTTGTAGGTGGCAGGGGTCCAGATCAAAATAATTTTATGGCAGCTTTAAAGTGGGCAGAAAACTCTCTTCTATGCAAGCGGCTTTCAAGACCTTTGCTGTACGTACGAGTTGAGCACTTTCGAGTCATCAGTGGCGTTGGGGGTTGAACATGTCCAAATGGAATCAAACCAATTCCTGATTCTGTCGCAAACTACAGCCTCCTGTAGAAAAACAAAATGTAATAATCAAATGTAGGCAATACCAGGTTTTATTGCTGTAACAAGCTTGAACGATGGCAAATGAACCTGAAAAGTTAGGTGAGGTCAAACATGTCAAGAGGTTGACCTCTTTGACCTAACCTAGGTCACTGATCTTAATAGACCAAAGCTTCAAATTCAGATTCAGGATGCCAGGTTGATAGATGAACAGGTACTGAAAGTTTTGTGTTCCTGTAAGCGCTCATTTTTGACCTGTGGTCAAAAACCGTAGGAAAAATCAATTTTCCCGACCAGGCGCGGGTTAATGATTTAAGACAGTAGTATTAACCTTATTCCTCGGAAAAACCAGGATAATGGAGATATAGTTTGGTTGATTTTTCGGCAACATGTCTTTATCGAAACAACAAATTTCCTAGTTTCGATAAAGGCACGTTGCGGAAAAATGAACCAAACTATATCTTCATTACTTGAAACGAATTTTTTTAGATTCGATAAAGGCATATTGCCGAAATATCAACCAAACTTTATCTCCATTATCCTGGTTTTTCCGAGGAATAAGGCTAATACTATTGTCTTATCTATGTGAATAATGTTCTTCGCTAATGCACTGAACAAATTACGTTTATGATTTCATCTTGATTTGGATTCGGCATTGGAGTCGAAACCTGATTCATCAGTAAACACCGCATCAAGTTAACATTCGAATCTGATATAGACTTTGATCAGCCACTTTGCAGCGAACGTCTGGTGGAGAGCAAATGCTTCGTACCCATAAGTCGCCTCCTCAATCTCTTCCCAAACACGTCAGTAATGCAGTCAAATAACATATCATTAAACAAGTTGCCGTTTTCTTCTGCCATCTACTTTCTCGACTCATAAAATCGCCCATCACGTGTGAAACAGCGCAAGAAATTGACCACCGGGAGAAAAATTGCTGTATGATAGCTGGCACAGCATGATTACGTCGTACAAAGATGAAATGCAAAATAGCCAAGACACAATCCGCGATAAGTCACATCAGCACGTGGGAACACTACGCCCCGCTATGCATAAATAACGCGCCGGTTCTCTGGGCTATGCTTGGCCCCTGATGCTCAGTTTCGTGTCGTGCTCCACTGGCCGGCTTCGCTGGACTTTTTCGCACGGACCAGAGCGGTGCCTCGAAGCTGAGGAGCACACACAAGCCACTAGCACCAAATGTTCGCTTTTCCGCCAATTGCTGTGAACCGCATGGAAGAAGTAATACAACGTCTGTTGAGGACTTGTCCGAAGGCTGCACTGTTTCCCGCGCTGCAGCAGGTGCACTTTGCGAACGGGCTGGCTATTTCACTTGCTCTTTCTCCATTGTTACGGATTATAGTGCCGTTCAGCTCAGTAGGTCGCACAAGCAGAGCAGGAAACGGTCATTTAGGAGAGGGTTTGTCATGGCTGGATCTGAAACCGGGCATTAACAGCAGCATTTAGCTACAACATCTTAAAGCAGGTACCATACCGTTGATTTACATCAACGTTGATCACACTGAATCCATATTGAAGAAATGTACATGAAATTATTTTTAGAAGTAACATTCACACTACAAGTCATGCTCACCGAGCCTTTTTCGATCAATCTGTGAAAAACACGCATCGCAGGCAGGCAGACGAATGCTGGCCAGAGCTCGGTCATGACGTTTTTGTGATGCAAAGACCAAATCGCACCGAACGCTGTTATGTATGCGGGCACGTCAAAACTCATAACCACATGCTTAAAATGACGCATGAGGTGAAAACGCTGGCGTTAATTCCATTACCGTGCTGTCATTGCCCAACTTGTGAACACGAACGCTGCTGCGTCAGTTTTAGAGTTCAGTTGCGTCTTTTGGCGCTTGCTCATGCGTAGTAATGTTGGACGTGTCCCGCGTGGATGGAGCACGCGTCCAACTCCGTGCGTTTGGACCGAACACGCTTCCTTATTTCGCCACGTTATTTTGCCCGCTTTAGCCACCTGGTTTTAAACGTAGGCTTAAATCAAACGTGTTCTCAGAGTTACAGAAACCCAACGGCATTGCCTCGACGAGTCCGTAAGACGGCACCTGGCCGGAACGGCTGGTGACTGGTGTAATATCACCAACCTGCGGGATGTCGGACAGTTCGGCCGCGCTGTGGTACTGAACACCCCCGAAAGAAACGCGCCCAGCTCTCCATATTCAGATTCTGTACTGACTGAGATGAAACTATGCAATTTACTTCCAACGATCCCGTGTACACATATGCTCACGATATCAGGCCCCCGAACATGAGTTGAAAGTTCCCGAACAGCGAAGAAGGCATGTCGGGAAATTTTGTGGATCTTCACAGCCCGGGCATTTGAATGAAATAGGTCGCATACTTTAAAAAAAATTACAGTCGTAGTACAGATTGACAACTATGAGTGACTTCACAGCTGTGACGACTGTGACGTAGCAAATTTAGGGAAAAAGAAAGTCGTGCCCTTATTTTAGTTTTATCGCATGACCTTGCTAAAACATTAGGGACAACTAGATCACTCGTTTTCATAGTTTGAAGTGTCTTCTTTTCGTTTTAAAGGCACTTCTTTTTTGTAACTAGCCAAAAGCCCCACTCAGTGAAATTTATAGTCGGTCATTACATAAGTGCGTCATTTGTACCTCATCTGAGCTATACATAGAACTAAGCAAGTGATAGCTTCTTCCTCCGTGCAAGTAAATACTTGGTTGAGATTTGAAAAAAATAGAATTAACTTGTTTTGGCGCTTTTCCTCAAGTTGCATGTTATACACAAATATGCCGGATTATGTTAAGCGTGCCTGAATCAATTCCACTGGTAACGTGCACGTCATTCATATGCCTGCCTAGTGCCATAGGCGACTGCCGTGCTTACACCCTTGACCTTCTCCGAACGCACAATTGGTAACGCCCTTGCCTCGAAGCATGATTTCCGGTCAGGAGATTGTTTCCTTCTAGTTTCAGCCATTGCGTAGTAACGCTTCTCTCCTTGTGGCACCAAGCCGGTTATTGGTGTGCGTTGATCGAGTGATTCGCCCAGATTAGTGTGGCCCACTGTGCCGCTTATAAAAAGCTGGTCAATTCAATATGATGATGGCTGGTGGAGGTAGCAGCTTACACCTCTGCATTGTCCATGCTTGTGTGAGATGCATAATAAGTCTGGTACGGAGCTGTTTGCAAATGAATCAGCTGCATATTTAAAAACGGCCTAATCTCAGTCGAAAAATATCTAGGGCCACGCCCTGTTCAAGACTATTCCCAGTAAGAGCAGAGCTCCGTCTTGCGCAATGCCTCTAACATGCATTATACACTGACCGTCCCAGTGAGAGAGGCAAGGGGACGGCCAACACACTGGCTTCCATTTAACACGAGGGCTCTTTCTGGCCTGCAGGCGTCCAAAGCTGGTCAGCCTGCCCCCTAACGCATATCTCTCTCTCTCTCTCTCCCTCTCTCTCTCTCTCTCTCTCTCTCTCCTCTCTCTCTCTCCTCTCTCTCTCTCTCTCTCTCTCTCTCTCTCTCTCTCTCTCTCTCTCTCTCTCTCTCTCTCTCTCTCTCTCTCTCTCTCTCTCTCTCTCTCTCTCTCTCTCTCCCTCTCTCTCTCTCCTCTCTCTCTCTCTCTCTCTCTCTCCTCTCTCTCTCTCCCTCTCTCTCTCCTCTCCCTCTCTCTCTCCCTCTCCTCTCTCTCCCTCTCTCTCTCTCTCTCTCTCTCTCCCTCTCTCTCTCATCCCTCTCTCTCCCTCTCTCTCTCTCCCTCTCTCTCTCTCTCTCTCTCTCTCTCTCTCTCTCTCTCTCTCTCTCTCTCTCTCTCTCTCTCTCTCTCTCTCTCTCTCTCTCTCTCTCTCTTATCTCCCTTACTCCGTGACACGCTGGCGTCGCCCTCGTACTAAGCCTTTGCTTGATATCCCCAGCAGGACGAATTGCTATGCGAACAGGAATTACTCCTGGCGCACTGATGCCTCCAACAGAGCACAGGGCTGCGCTTGGCACACTGGCTAGCTGGACAGTCTGTTTTCTGACACACCCACGTCCCAGTAACGCCTGCACAATCTCCCACTATCCTTCCCACTCACTGCTGTCCTCAAGAATAGTAGATGACTCCCTCTGACTCTCCGGCAGGTAGAACCTTCCCGGGTGCTCTTCCCGACGCCCTGACATCCCGAGCAGGACGGAGTGCCCCCCTGACCCACTGCCGCCTCCAGCCGCACAGGCGCGTCACCCGTTGACACCTTGCCGCCCCCCCCCCCCCCCCCCCCCCAGCAAGCCGACCCTTGCGACCTTCTCACCACCCGGGCGGCCGGCGCCGCCTCCGCTCGCCGCGGCTTCCGGCGCGCCGCCGCGGCCGAACCGGGCCGGCCGGCGGCGCCGAAAGCTTGCGGTCGGCGCGGCGTCGATCTGGGTCTCTGGAGTGAGGCGGCCAGCCGGCTCCGGCGCTCGGTCAGTCGCGATCGGAGGCCGACGCCTCCACAGCTCCGGCGGTGCGCTCCTCGGCGACCGGGCCTCGCGTGCTGGTGACGCGGTGCGAGTCGACTCCGGACGCCGGCGAAGAGACGCCGTCAGCGGCGGGACGAGCGGGACTAGACTGCGATACAGGTACCTGCGAGCGCGGGCTTGTTGCTTGCTCGGGCAGCACGCAGACACATGCAGGTTGGAGGGTGGGCGGTTCGTCGTGGAGCTGTTTGCGGAGTTTCCGGTACATTTGCTGGTCGTTTCTGTTCTGAGTATCCTATGCGAATGCTGATATCTTTTTAGATTCAGCGGCGGGGATGCTACTTGAAAAAGCAGGCAACTGGGTTTCGGGTGCAACTTCTCTGGGGTCATCTACCGCGGTGGTAGCCTTTGTAGGAAATCATGAAAACAGCTCACCCTGTCCAGAAGTGGCCGAGGTCCAACTCCGGCGTCACCAGTGCCGGCTGCGTCCTATCCCGACGTCTTGGCGATGAGTGAACATGCGTGACGTGCACTCGGTGTCCGAGCAATACCTGAGTAGTGATTGGCAAGTAATTTCAAGCTTCTCGCTGCGCGCGGTGTGGTATTGCCTGAATAAGCATTAGCTGTGAGTATGCGACTCTGAAATCTCACCTTAACTTACAGGATAAGATTTTTCAACACGTTTAACTTTCAGATTGTTTGCTGCATGTTGATAAGCATCTTCTCATATTTTACAACACTGCACACAGTTTTGGCAACATGTTTTGTTTTCGTTGGTGAGAACCTCAGCATTCATGGCAAGTTAGCTTTCAAGTTCGGGTAGAGCATCATTGATGTAGATTTGAACTTGGAGGCATAGATCGGCCTCCCCGCACTTAAAGACAAGACCACATACGCTAATATCATCAACGATGCAACGTCTTAGGTACTTCGTGCGTGTCTGGTGTTTAGTTCCTTGCCCTCCACACCAACTAAGCCCGCCGTATTTGGGACAGGGCTATCATGAGTGTAGACCCGATGGTTTGGATACAGAGCACTCTACAAAGAACCGACGCATAGTGCTTTTCAGTGTCTTTTTTCGCCTCCAATGGTTTTCATAGGCGAAAAATATTTGTGCACGTAATACAGGTCAAGAATGGATAGAGAAACGTATCTCATAATTGTTATGTAAACAAGCTGCATTCTGTAATGTAGACAGCTGACGCAAACGCGCTCTGGAAAGGCGTGACGTTAGGCGAACAATGCCCTATTAGTGTCACCATCAGGAAAACAATGACATCAGCCAAGTGCCAGTGATTCTGAGCATGCACCTGACAGCCTTGACACAACTCAGTGTTCTTGTGAACGCTGCTCACCCAGACCATTCAATGCAAACTGTTCACTTAGAATGCGAAACGTTAGAAGACAGCTGTCGGTATGCATTCCACCGGTCGGCGAATCGTGACCGCGTTCGCTGTTCTATCGCATTACATGCCGGCAAACATGCCTGTCGGACGCCAGTTTCAGTAAGCGGTGTGGCGGAGAACGGCTATGGCCCACACCCGTCCATCACAGGCAGCATACATGAGGGACATCAGAGACATCGGCTGTTGAGGCATGGAGCTTAGATTTCGCGGCTCCGTTGTGGCGAGGCGTACTGCGATCTCGCTCTCTGTGTGGCCTCCTGACCTCCCCGCGAGCCCCGAGCGCGGCGGGTCACGTGCGGAGCGTTCACCTCATTGACGTAGCGGTAACACCGCGGAACGCAGGCCCAGTTCAACCTGGCGCCGCAGCTGACAACGGCCGGAAGCCAGGAGGTTGGTGGAAGGGGTGCGCGGGGCCAGAGGTCTAGCTTTGGCCTACTCAGTGCCGGTTGTGGGCACTGCGGTCCCAGCATGAGCCAGAGTTGCCTGGGTGCGACCGGACTCGGTTACTGCAGTCGTTTTTAGGCATGAGGATTCATCAGATGTGAAGCCTTCCAACCTCATTATGAGTTCAGAGTCTTCAAGCTATCTGTATACTGGCGTTTAGGAGGCAGCAACCGTGCAGGTATTAGTTCATCCCAGTGACAGGTCTGCAAATATCGGGGTCGTTGATTTTCACTAATTTATGATCGGCTTTAAAGCAAGTGCATTAATTATAGCTTCGATGCAGCATTAATTGCAAATAACACTCTTATAGAGCATTCGGTAATATCAAAGCCAGGCTGTACATGCTGGGAACTGCAATGCAGCGGATGTAAGCAGCACAGGGGTGTGGTTGCCTCCATGCCATTGGCGATGGAGAGAAGGAAGGGGAATTGCCCCAAAATCCCCTTTCCCACGGAGCTTTGCGACCAGCCCATCAATTTAAATTGCGAATCGGTTTCATGCTGCAGAAAATTCAGCTATGAGAGCTGTTGACGCTGACTTAGTCCGAGTTGTCCGGGAGGCGTGTCTGAGATACACACAGGTGCGCCATTGAAATCACTCGCACCCCATGGTCTTCAAAAGTTGGACTCAAGGAGGCCTCTAATGCATGCATGTATGCATTGAGCACCACAAGTAACATGCCATCGTCTGCTTTCAGAACCGTGAAAGTTCACCATGCTTCTGCGAAGACCACTTCTCGCCGCCCTGCTGGTAGCGGTAAGTGTTCATGCCAGACATAACATGTAATCAATACAGAACATGCACATTGCAGTTGACAACCCAGAATTGTTATCTTTTGATTATGTACTGCATTGGTAATAAAAATATAGGTACAAGACAGCCCAGAAAAGTTTGGAATAAGGCCAGTTTAGTTCAAGCCTCGTTGTTGGGAGCACCTCTTACGCTATTAGGCGCAGCAACACATTCGTTCTGTCTAGTACAGACTGGTGAAATGGCCGGGAACATGATCACCGTCACATGACCGTCACGTGACCGATGACGCCAGTGTAACAGTTTAGTCTCTGTTCTCTCTCTCTCTCTCTCTCTCTCTCTCTCTCTCTCTCTCTCTCTCTCTCTCTCTCTCTCTCTCTCTCTCTCTCTCTCTCTCTCTCTCTCTCTCTCTCTCCTCTCTCTCTCTCCTCTCTCTCTCTCTCTCTCTCTCTCTCTCTCTCTCTCTCTCTCTCTCTCTCTCTCTCTCTCTCTCTCTCTCTCTCTCTCCCTCTCTCTCTCTCTCTCTCTCTCTCTCTCTCTCTCTCTCTCTCTCTCTCTCTCTCTCCGTTGTCCTCTTTCGTTCTCGCCTGTCCCCCTCCGTTCGCCCGTGTTACCCTCTATCCTTCTGCTCTCCATCTGTCCTTTTGCTCTCCTTCTGTTCCCTTCTGTTCTCCCTCTATTCTTCTTCCGTTCTCGCTTACGCTCCCCGGCACCGATGTCTGAAGCCGCCACAGTCCGAGTGACAGACGAGGCGTAATTCACGGGCCGGCCCGTCCACCGTATCCGGCGCGTTGTCGTTCCGTTTTTCGGCGTCCCAGTTTTCGACATCCCGCCGCGTCACGCCGTGGACGCCACCAGGTCCCAGCAGCGATCTGCGAATCACCACGCGGCTGTGACTGTCGATTTGTTTTGTTTGGGAAGCGGGTATCGGAACACGTCGACTGCCCAGCCTGCAGTAGTGGTTCCCGGGGCAATAGCAAAGTCTCCAGACCGGACACCGTGCACCTGTCGCAACTCCTACTTGCGCAACTCATGTGCTTACCTCCACGAACGAAAACAGCATCCGTTTGGTCACATTCAGCCGGCAAATATTGTTGCTGAGCAATTATCTGGCCAGCTAGGCAGGTCTGCGGTGAGCACCGGACCAAAGGCTGGTCCGAGGGACCGGCCGCCACGTGCAATGGCTCGGCGCTAGGCGCCCCTCTCGCCCGATACCTTCGCGTGAGCCCCTTCTCAGCTTGCCAGGTGGCCACCAGCTTTCTCGTGGTTTTTTGCACCTCTCCATCGCCCCAGTCTGAAGTGGCGCTCGGAAGCACAAATCATGCTTTCGATTCCAAAACACAGAAAGTGGCTGCCACTTGGTGGATAAATGGACCCGCGACGCTATCTGGCCGAACTGAACGCGTATATCATTCGCTTTGGTAAACAACGAGGCCATTACGGCTTGTTTTGAAACTACGCGGATGCAGGAGAGGAGATTCATGAATCCCAGCCAAACAGGAGACACAGAAGCGCCGAGGGTTTGGAAACACGCCAGCCAGCCACCCGAGGATCTTTGCGCGTCTAGTCCTTCCATACGGTGCTTGGGCATATTTCACGACCAATTTCCGCGCAGTACTTAACCATACCACGCAGTCCGTAGTGTCACATACAACTCAACACCGCCGAAAATGGCTCGGCCACCGGAGGTATTCGCTTTACTGGCGGTCGTGATGGACTCCAGCGTTTGGCAGAGGACTCTTCCCTGCCGATCACATGCCTGACACCGGACTCCTACCACTCGGTGAGCAAATGATTGGCGGCGGACTCCTCCCCGATTGGTCCCCGTATGACTGGTAGTGGACTCCTCCTGCTCAGCTGACACGCAACTCGGATCGGACTCCGCCCTGCCCGGTCAAACGGTGACGGGCGTTGGATTCCGCCCCGCCGGCGGACAGCGGACTCCTCCCTGTCCGACCACAGCGTGGTCAGCGCCGCCCGGCGGCGTGGCCGGCGGCGGGCGCGCGAAGCGGTCATCGCGCGAGCACCGCGACGCGGCCTCCGCCGCCAACGGTTCCGCCAGTCCCCATTACGGCTGCACGGCCGCCCTAACTGTCGCGCGCGTAATAGAATCACGCGCGCCGCCCTGGACGCGGCACCGCTAGCCGCTGCGAATCCTCTCCGGCGGTTCCCCGCGGTCCCGTATTGTTCGGATCGGTTTCCGGGGAAGTGGGTCAGCGCGGCGCGTCGGCGCGCGCAAGCTGCCGTCGGCGCCGGCGGCGGCCGCGCCGCCGAGCCGCCGCGAGCCGGCGCCTGGCGCGAGCTCGGCCGGGCGCCGGGGACGGCTGCGACAGTCGGCACAGCTCCGCCGCTGAGACCGGGTGCGGGAGTCCCGTCACGGTGGTTAACTCGCGCCCGGGTGGGGAGAGTGCTATGATGAGGTGGTATGGAGAGCGATGGCGCTGCTCATGAACGAGTTATGGGCTCATTTCTCTGGGTAACATTCCACGTCGTGAATCAGCTGTTTCTGTTCTCGAGCGTCACATGTCAAATGCTCTGTGAGAAAGACAATGCATCTTTGGCCGCGCGACATACATCCGCGAACCGCCCGAACAGCGAGATCTCAAAACAGGTGTCGACGGCAGCGGTGCAAGACAGTTGTCACCAATAGTGCAAATCGGCTCGTTGTGCGTGACGAGGTATGGTGAATGGTGCCATTTTAGGCGGCGCCACACGCCACACGGGCGGGGGCGTTAAAGCTAGCGACAAATTGGCTTGCATGTCACACGCCTCGCCCGGCATGGTGCGCGACTGCTGACACACTGACCAGATTGCTGGGCGCCGGAAACCTCATGCACAGAGGTAGCAGCGGCGCCTGGCACGGAGCGCATAGCTACGGGGCGTAGACCATGACGTGATGTCAAGCGTTTTGGTGTCAGTGTTCTGAATCCGTGCGACATTTCGTGATGTTAGAATGCGGTTGTCAAGACGCTCCATTTTTTCTAAGACGGCCCCTGAAGCTGGCGCCACCCGCCCGCCATCGCTGACAGGCCTGGACTGGCTACACAAGGCTAGTCACTGCTGCCACCAGTGGGATATATGCCAACTCCGTGTCTAGGCCGCAGACGCGATCCGTGATCTATGATCTGAGTGGCAGCCAGCCAATGAAGGTTCGGTTTCTAGTTCCGTTTTAGTTTTTCGTGTGTGTGGCAGCCATCCGGGTTAGCCTTCGGTTTTGGTATGACCGACCCAGCCATGCTGATTACGCTTCCTCGCTTTCAAAGCTCAGCTGTGTAGTGGGTCAACGCAAGCCTTTAATGCAATATGTGGCGTGTTATGGTGATCACTATTGCCTGTCGGCTGTAACGCATCGCTGATGGACGCCTGGCGGAGTGCCTTCGGACATCCATCACTTTAATGATAGGCGCGTTTTTGCTACCACCGCAAACGAGCTTGACCACAGGCACAGGACCAGCTAACCAACATAACCCGCAGCCCCGCCCCTCTGCCAGGAGACAATGCACCGCAGCGGCCAATACCCAGCCAGCATTTCGTTTCCGTGTCTGATGACAAGGTACCGTGCCCGAATGGCTTCATAAAGCCGACACGGCCGAGCGCGTTGCCGCACGCGCTGCCGGCAACCGGCCGGGGCCTGGCGAGTCGTGGGCAGCCATCCCTCCTCTCGTTTGTATCTCTCGGCGGCGGGAAGAGAGCCGAATGGTGTCACGCAGAATGTGGGCCAGCCGGGCCGGCGGCGCGCCTTCCCAGGACCGACGCCGGTTCCGAACGGGACGCAGGCGCCGTGATGTACGAGATGTTTGGCCACGTTTTGTGGGGTCAGGGACGCCGCGGCCATTCGCGTCATCTCGCGGCCTCAGAGGCCGCGGTGGGGAGGGGGGAGGGGAGGTCGGCGGGACGTGGCGCGGCGGCATCACGCCTTCTCCGCGACTGGTGAGTGTCCATTGGGCAGCCCGCTTCGTGTCAAGCATCGGTAAAGGTCCCGAATGACCGTCGCTATTCATGCGCTTTCTCAGCATTTTAGCACGATATCCTGCATCCCGCGCGCGCCAAATTTCGGGAATTTGTGTAGCCGAACACTAGCACAGACCGGAGGGGGGGGGGCTTCAGGGGTGGCAATTTCAATATGGTATCCAATCTAAATCACCGTGTTCGATGACTTTACTGATATTTCCTTCTGAAATTCCAAATCCACATTGACTCGACCCGGCTCAGCAAAATGTGTTCAGGAATAATCCATATAAGTGCATGACAACAGTAGGATGTGCACAACATTACTACCAATTCCACATGTTACCGTCTTGAACGACATCGATATGGAGACGGGAAGACGAAGAGAAAGCGAGACATTGCCAGACGTGAGGTAATGTGAGGATCAGGTGTCAACGATGTCAAATGATCCGGTGTTCGGCTAAATCTTACTCCAGCACTATATTAGCACCAAATCCTTCTTTGCTTCTCCAACGTCTCGAGCCAACCGAATTGTTGTGTCCTCCACTTCTTCGTCGTCTACAGCTAAGTTGTAGCCTACTGCCTCACATTTTCTGGCAACCCTCTGGAAAACTTGCGAGATGCCCAGTCATGCAAACCCTGCGCACCCTCACGGCTGGAGGCACCGGCCGGCTGCTAAACGAAGCCAAACCTGATCCCCGAAGCCTGTGATCTACGCCGATCAAACGGGGCCAATCACCCAGACGCCAGGCGGCGGCTGTGGCTGGTGCTCCGGTCCCCAGGGCGGCGCGCTATGGGCAGCCCCTATCCATTCGTTATCGCTCCGATCGCGACCGGCCGTGTAATCTTCGATGCCCGGTGCGCGATCGACATGCGCGCAGCCCGTGCGCCCGGGACGCGTATTCCCGACCAGCGGACGCGGCTAACGCAGCGCAATCACGCCAATCAGGAGAGCGCTGATGGATTGGAGGCCCTCGGAGATGACCCGATGCGAACATGTGCAGTTATCCCGAACGTCTAGGGCGGGGCTTTAGTCGACAAGGTGAAGCAGGACGAGC